ACTCGATTTCCGATCCGGATGGCCGATTCGCCGATCCGGATCGGTTTTTTGAAAGCCCGATCCGGGTCACCGATCCGTTTTTTAAACCATTGGGTGCAACTATTCGGAGGACACATCAAATGTAGATGACTCGCTAGAAGTTTCAAAGACTCGTCCAAAATCAGTAAGAATTGCCTATTTCTCCATTGTCGTGGTGGAAACTCGGTTTGCAAAAAATGAAAAGTTTTTTGAACTATAAATCCAAAATTTTGGAGTGATTTTGATTGATTATTGGAAACATTTCTGTGTTTTGACAACAATATAATTTATATGATACGATTTGAATTGAAATTAGGGTTCTTGTGCGAAATTTTTTTTTTCTGCCAAACCCCTCTGCTCTATCTCATTTCTACAACAAATCAGATGAGGTTTGTTTTTGTTTTAGGAGCTTTTGATATCAGCTTTAAAAGCCCTTTAAATATCCCTAGTTTAATGTCTCCATTGCCGATTTATTTCGTGCAACAAAGAGTTTTTGTGTGATTTTTTTTTTTTTTTTTTCTGTCAAACCTCTATGTTCTATCTCATATCTACACCGATAATGTTTGGTTTGTTTTGAAGCTTTTGATATCAGCTTCAAAAGCCCGATCCATGGTTTTATTTCTCCATTTCCGACCGATTTCGCGCAATAAAGAGTTCTTTGTGCGATTTTTTTTTTCATGCCAAACCTTTCTATTCTATCTCGTTTCTACACCAAATCAGATGAAGTTTAATTTCTTTTGAAGCGTTTGAAATATCTTCAAAAGCCTAAGAAATATAAATTTTAAAATATACATTTTTAAGAGAGTTATGGAAAAAATCTCCAAAATAAATTAAAAAATGGTATTCACAACCTTTTGAATTTAAAAGTTAAGAGTACCAACCAGTAGCCTCCATGTTATATATATCTTACCATTATTTGCTCTTTTGAAATTAAAAAGTAAGAGTACTAAAGAATACGTATTGCCGCTATTATATATACACAATAACGTTTCATGATTTTCATTTCTCAATAAAAAAAAAAAAAAATGAGCATGTCTCGGGCGAGTAACTTGGACTCCCCCGAGCAAATCGCCTCGGCCAGAGCCTGAGTAACTTGGCCGAGTCGAATTTTTGAACCTTGTTCCTAGGTGTAAAAGAGATTTCCCAGTCCAAATCTAAAGTGGTTAGTGGTTTTCCAAACAATCACTCACAACGAATCAAATGTGATGAAGAGTGTAGTGAATTTTTATAGAGCAAACTTTCTATGCCCCTTAGAGCATAGAAGTTCTATCCTCCCCCTTATCTAACCGTTCATTTTGAATAGAGGGCTAATATTGCCGCAATCATAATGTCACGTCTCTGCACTATTTTATTTTTAATTATTTTCTATAAACTATTTTAATACCAAATTTTGAACGTGCCTTCCTCTCTTAAACTCACACTAACGAAAAATATAAACAAAAATATTTTCAATAAAATCAAATGGCCAAAATACCCATGAAAGTTTCAAGGGATATTTTGGTCATTATATTTTATCTAAAAATTATTTTCAATATTTTTTATAGGTGCGCCCCAATGAGAAGATGGCACATACCAAATTTCATATTCATATAATTTGTATAAAAAAAAAACTAAAAATAAAATACTTTGAGATATCAAATCTAAGATCAAACAGTGAGTGGCTCTCTTGATCAGAATTGGATGATTGGATGGTAGGGGGAGGATAGAACTTCTATGCTGTTGGGGAAGCATAGAAACCTTTCCTATTTTGTATGAGGGTAACTTTGAGCAAGGCTCCATTGACAAACTAGAGTTAATGTCTATTCCAAAAAGGGTGATGTTCGACCATCAAATACTATTGAGAAATGTAGTTTCAATACTGGAAATGTTTGTGATAACCTTGAAATATATTTTTATCTTTAATTATAAAATTTAAAGCTTCAACATAATGTAGTGTAGATCGAGCAAATCTATGAAAGCTTGAAAATCTTGAAAATTGATGGTCCAAAAATATGTTACAAGCTTAAAATCCAATTTTTTTCTCATGTCCAGTCTTGATGTCGAGATGATCAATTTCAAGATATTTGGGCAACAAAACAACCCCTTCTTGATATTTGGGCAACAAAACAACCCCTTCTTGCAAAATTTTTGAGGTGGGCTCTAATTTGATTGGTTAGAACCTCGGCTCTATATAAACTTTTTCCCTCCAAAAATGGTACGGCTTCGAAAATTTTTGAATGGTATATTTATATTAAGGGTGCGGTTTGTATAGAGCCAAGGCTCTAAACAATCAAAATAAAGCGCACCTTTAAATAGTATCGAGAAATGTGGTTTCAATATTGGAAATCTTTGTGATAGCTCTAAAATATATTTTCATCTTTAATTATAAAATTTAAAGCTTAAACAAATAGTGTAGATCGAGCATATCTATGAAAACTTGAATATCTTGAAACTTGACGGTAAAAAAATGTGTTACAAGATGCACTATTTTCAAAACTAGAAATCCAATTTTCTCTCATGCCCATGCATCTTGATGTTGAGATGATCAATTTGAGGATATTTGGGCATCAAAACAACCTCTTCTGGTGAAATTTTTGAGGTGGGCTCTAATTTGATTGTTGAGAGCCTCGGCTCTAATATAAACTTTTTCCTCGTAATTAATGCATGTGACATGCAATAGCACCAGGATCCGGGTCTGAATCCTCAGCTAGCCTATATGAAGCTCAACAGGATGAAATACTTTGCAGACAAAATGCCACATTTAAAATCAAATAAGCCACTACAAAAATTTTAAACACAAGGATCAGGGTCTGAATCCTCAGCTAGCCTATATGAACCTACATCAACTGTAAGGATTGCAGGTCAAAATTGCCACTCCTCATCCTTTCAAATATATCATAGACAACATCAACTGTAGAGAACTTCATCTAGAAAATTCTAAAAGACTTGGATTTAAACAACAATACCCTCCATAGGATGCATTTATAGAAGGCGCACAGGGCAGAAGGTCATAACTTGAAACAATTACTTCAACCTCAAGCCATAAGTAGCAGCCCAGAGGAAGCTAAATATGACCCCAGAGTTGCAAAGTGCACAACATCTAATCCATTTATAATGAATGAACTGAGCAATCAAATCAGCTGGACTAACAAAAAAGCATTCATTGATATTTCACATACACAGGAAATTATTTCACAGTTCACAAGAAACACGCTTGAGACCCTGTGCCAAGAGGAGGATAAAGTAGAATTTACCAAAACAAGGGTGCAGGCACAAGCTAAGCAATAGTACAGTCCTGAGAAGCCCTAAGAGTTTAACATTTTTATCAATTTTCTTGCTTTTCTTGTCCATTTTGATCAGCTAATCGCATACTTACTAGAGTTGCATAAATATGAAGCAGGAGCTCGCAGAGGCAAGAGCACCAGGGAAATTATAGGTTTCAATGCAATCTAGGTTAGGCAGACAAGAAGGTTGTTTTGAGTTCAGTACAATAGTGTCAATAATAACGAATTGAATATTATCATCGTCATATCTTCACTACGAAAAGAGAGCTTCATGGAAAGATGCAACTTCTTGAAGTAGTGAAAAGTGAAAACATTGTAGACTTCTTAATCTCACAATGAAATGGTGGGAGGAGGAGATAATGCGAAAGGAAAAAAGCAAGGTCATTTGCAACAAAATCAAGTGTTTCCCAAGAATGAAGAGATTTCTTGGCCCTAACAACTTCTGCAGTGAGTAAAGATCTACTGGAAAATTAAAGTCAAGTATCACTCCCCAAAGACTTAGTCATGATAAATTGAATCAAGCATGCACAAGGTTGCATGATTTTGGAGTATTGGCGTTTGAGATAAAGGCTTCAACGAGATAACAAATTCAGTGAACTCTGAAAATGGCATGAATTGAACTTCAAAACTTAAAAGGTTCGAAATTTGTAATAGAAAAGGATTTGAAGCCAAAATAGAGAGAAAATTTCACAAATGAATTTGAAGTACACCAAGAAGGATACATGATAGACAAAAATGCCATATTTCAAACATCCAAGCTTCAGGTACTACCATCATAACAACACATGCACCATTTCTCATATTATGTAGAAGTCTCAACACCTTAGACGATCAATCTAACAGGACCATAGCTGACGAGACTGGAGCAATTAATCTCCCAACACTTAAGTTGAAAAATATGAATCCCACACTCACCATTCCATGAATAAGCACTAGATGATCCACCAAATTTGAGGACATGTACAATTCTTTTCTCCTTACAATCATTTTATGTGCTTGCCAATGAAACCAAATCAGCCACTGAAAAGCTTTTATGTACCGATCTCTCAGAACAGGAAAAGAAGATGACAAAATGTTGCTTCTCAACATTGCCAAGAACATGGATACAAAGAACCTTCCCATATTGAAAAGTTATAGCTTGAACAACATATGTCAACCACGATCCAAATGTATCAGTTCAGAGTGAGAAAACTCGATTGCAGTGTTTGTAATTGCCCAACAACTAATACATCATGATGATCACAAGCCAAAATTAAGCAAACTGAAACTTGACCAAGAATAAAGCAATCAACTGGAATTTCTCAGAAGAAAACAGTTGTCTGTATATAAACAAATTCTAACAACGGCACTGTGACCCTGTGAGAGAGATGAAGAGAGAGAGAGTCCAGATTTTGCATCGATAAGTCAGGAACAAAGAATTGACTGAAACAACCTGACTAAGAAGCACGAACAAAGCAATCACTGAGAATTTATTTGAAGAATACCTTACTCCACATACAAACAAATTTTAACAAATGCACCATGAGAGAGATAAATAGATGGATGCAGAGATTAGAGAGAGATTTATTTAAACAGGTGGAGAGAGAGAGAGAGAGAGACTCAATTCAAGGAACAGCATCAAGTCTAGCATCAATGAAGAGCCCTCTGTAAAGACCATCACCATTATCAGGCACATTCTCCACCCACCTCCAAACCCCTTTTCCCACTCCAAAACACTCCCACATTGCCAAATCCTTTACCCCTTTACCCGAAAAGAACACTCTCTCTCCACCCCCAAAAGCCTTAAACCTGAGCCCACCTCCTCTAAACTCTCAAAAATCTGTAATGGCATCATCGCCGCCTCATCCCACTCCAAACTCTCCAAATCCAATCTCAAAATTATCACAGCTGAGCATTGTGAATTCACTGCATGAGAAGATTTCAAACTGCCCACCGTTAACAAACGCCCTCGAGGTCCACGAACTAGCCGGCGCCTCTTCAAAATATCAAAAACATCTCCCATTCATTCCTTTCAAGCTTTTTCCACGAATCTCCATTACATAACTCACTCAATTCGCAACAAACAAGCTTCCATTGACTTCTCCACGGGGAACCCACATCAGAAAGAGCATAAACAGTGAGAACTGGACTCCAAAGAGCATAAACAGTGAGCACTAGACTCCTTGGTTTCGAGCACAAACCAGAGGAGAAATTTCTCCACAGCCCCATGCTCCCAAGAGAGAGAACTGCGAGCTCGGTGAGCACAATTACAGTTTTGCTACTGGGAACAACGGTCCCATGCTGGCACCAGGCCGAGCCCAGCGAGGGAAAAATGGTAAATTTCCTCGTGAGAGGGTTGCAGAGATCAACTCCTGAATCGTTATCACACCAGATGTAAAGCAAGCCTTGATAAGATGCCACCGGAGTAACATGAGAAAAGGGTAAGAATTTTAGAGAGAGACGAAACCACTGGTTTTGGGCTTATATAAGGGGAAAGCAATTTTCCGGCGAGTGGTGGGTAGTTTCCCGGCGATGTTTCCGGCAATGGGAGGAGGAGGAGGAGCCATGGCTCTGAGGGGAGGGTTTGGAGGAAGGAGGGGGAGGAGAGAGAGTGGTTGAAGAGTTTGCAGACGGAGCGAAAGGAGAGGACTTGGGGGATGGAGAGGTGAGATAAAATGAGGTGGAGAGTGTCTTTTGGGAGGAGGTGGAAGAGAGAGAGGGGGGATAAGGAGTCCATGTTGCCTGCAATTTGCTCATGCAAAAGCAACTGGTTCTGTAACGCCGCCCCAAGTGGTAGTTGACTTTCTCATTAAAGGGTTGGCAGCGGGTTTGGATCGGACGCGGATCCAAAAATAGTGTGATATCTAAACCTGTACCTAAATAGCATTTGGGTCCTAGATTTGGACCTGGATCCCGACCCCACGCATTATATCCAATTTTTGGACTTATTCCTAGACGCGGATCGGATCTTTCCCTTGGGTCTTAGGTCAGGTTCGGGCCATTGCCACCTACACTTATGAAGGACCCCACGCATTACATCCAATTTTTTGACTTATTCCTAGACTCGGATCGGGTCTTTCCCTTGGGTCTTAGGTCAGGTTAGGGCCATTGCCACCTACACTTATGAAGTTAGGTGTTTTTTCCTTTTTTGGGGTAGATCAGTAGGGCCCGTTTGAAAGTAAACCACACTATAAGGTTACAACTTTAAAATGTAGAATTAAAAATGCACCTAAAAAATCTATCGAAAAATATTGTTTTAATATTGAAAAATCCTCTAATTGATCATCTAAACATTGTGATGTATGAATATGAAAAAAAAGAAAGATTTTGAGTCCCAAAAATATTGCATCTTGCAATATATTACTAGACCGTCTGTTTTCAAGATTTCCATAAGTTTATAGATCTACTTGATTTTAACTAGTTTTAAAGTTTAAAATTTTATAATTAAATATGAATATAGATTTTGATATTATCCTAAGAATGTTTTATACCAAAATTAGATATTATGATAAAATTTGGAGGTGCGCCTTAATTGGATTGTTTAAGGCCGCAACCTTATAAAAACCACGCCCTTTAGAAATAGTTAGTGGCTATTGTTGGTAGCATAGTTGAGGGAATTGAAGCTTAGAGGAGTAGTTGATGCTCACGTGGTGCTTCTGAAGTTGTTTTGGTAAAGAGAGAGAGAGAGCATCTTGTTCTTTGAAACCTAGAAAAGTTATGATTAGAGTACATGTTACGTCCCAAAAATTTATAATACTGATACTCCTGAGATGCAACAGTCAAAACATATATACATCTCTTGATAGGACAAATTTACGGTGGCGAATTTTTACAAAGTAACAAAAGAAAGTTTAAGCACAACTACAATATCTTCTCAAAGTTGATCCTTACGAGCACTCAAAATGAAACCGCCGTTATCTTGAAAAATGTTTACCATAGTTTGATGAGTTTGGCTACTCAGTAAGTGATCATCATAATCCTAAAAACAATCATAGCTGAAAGATATCAATATTTTTTAAAAATGAGATCTATTAACAGAAATGCATTAACAGTTTCACTTTAAAAAATGTATGATTAAGTATACTCCGAATAATTGAAATGCATATAACATTTTAACGGCAGTACATAATTCAAAGGATTTCACAAATTACCCTACTGTCGTCCTAAGTAGGTCACCTATATACCCCATCAGCGTCCTGATGGGTCCACTTAATCTCTATTGGCGTCCCAGATAGGTCCACTTAATCTCTATTGGCGTCCCAGATAGGTCCATTTAATCCATGCAGGTCCACTTATACCTCACCGGCGTATCGGAGGAGCCCACTTAATCGCTACCGCTGTATCGGATAGATCCACTTATACGTCACCGGCGAACCGGATGAGTTCACTTGCATACTTAAAGTATTTCTAAATCTCTTTAAACGTTCGAAAGCAGCAATATTATGTACTCAACATATCACTGAAATTATTAATATGAATTTCACTGAAACCATTAATAACAGTCACTTTCAATAATATTTCAAAAATAACCAGTCAAATATTTTGGGCTCAAATTTAGAAAAGTAGCCATTTGTAGAGACATTCTAGCATAATTGTCAATCTAATATGTATAGAAAAACTCTTATAGAAATTCAAGAATACGAAATTATCACAATTTATGGGATGTTAATTCGCAAACAAACATTTCACAGACAATGCTATAATCAATTGCAAAAATATCAGTTTTCAACTAATAAGGCAGTCATTTGCACATGAAATTTACAATGTCTAAATATTCAAAAATAGTAGAAAGAAATCTCACAATTTTACTAAAAGCGGAAATATCAAATTTTTTTTTCTAAGAATTTACAGCATTTAAGATTTTTAACATAGATAAAATATCACAATTTTATTAAAAAGATTATTTTTCAAAATAATGAGGTCGCTTGAGCATAAAATTTATCGTGCCTAAAATTCATGATAATAAGCAAAAATAATTATTTCATTTCATTTTAAAAAACGGATTATTTTTCAAGATAATGAAGTCACTTACCTAAAATATTTGAGAGGGTGCTTTCAATAAAAATTCGGCTAGAGAGAGAAAGAGCTCACTGCGTTTCGATTAGAGAGAGAAAGATCTCAAAAATTTTCTACGGTGGGAGTCCTCGCCTTCCTATTTAAATTCTTAAGATACCTTATTATATTATCTTATTAAGTTACACCTCATACATGAGGTGTAAGAATTATATTACACCTGAACGTTTAAAGCTCATGTCCATTAAAGGACGTGGCAAGGCAGCAAAAACTTAAACCAAAAGCTTTTGAAAGTAGTGATGGTCCCTAAAGACCATCATGCTCATATGGACCATCACCTACTAAAAGTTTCTTCTTTTGTTTTTTTTTGTTGAAATTTTAGGATTATTACATTCTTCTCCCCATAAAGAAATTTAGTCTTCTAAATTTGTGTACCTGATTACTGAAAAAAATAGAGATATTTTATTTTAAGTACATTCTTTTTTAAATTTCCTAAGAATCTTAAACCTATTGCTCTGATACCATAATTGTCACGCCCCAAGAATTTACAATACTGATATTCCTGAGATGCGACAGTCAAAATATATATACATCTCTTGATAGGACAAATTTACTGTGGCGAATTCTAACAAAGTAACAAAAGAAAGTTTAAGTACAACTACAATATCTTCCCAAAGTTGATCCTTACGAGCACTCAAAATAAAACCGTCGTTATCCTGAAAAATGTTTACCATAGTTTGATGAGTTTGGCTACTCAGTAAGTGATCATCATAATCCTAAAAATAATCATGGTTGAAAGATATCAATATTTTAAAAAAAGGAGATCCATTAATAGAAATGCATTAACAGCTTCACTTTCAAAAATACATAATTAAGTATAATCCGAATAATTGAAATGCATATAACAATTTAACGGCAGTGCATAATTCAAAGGATTTCACAAATTACCCTACTGGCGTCTCAAGTAGGTCACCTATATATCCCATCAGCATCCTGATGGGTCCACTTAATCCCTATCGACGTTCTAGATAGGTCCACTTAATCCCTGCAGGTCCAGTTATACCTCACCGGCGTACCGGATGAGTCCACTTAATCCCTACCGCCATAGTGGATAGGTCCACTTATACCTCACTTGCGAACCGGATGAGTCTACTTGCATACTTAAAGTATTTCTAAATCTCTATAAACATTCGAAAGCAGCAATATCATGTACTCAACATATCACTGAAATTATTAATATTAATTTCACTAAAACCATTAATAACAGTCACTTTCAATAACATTTCAAAAATAACCAGTCAAATATTTTGGGTTCAAATTTAGAAAGGTAGCAGTTTGTAGAGACATTCTAGCATAATTGCCAATCTAATATGTATAGAAAAACTCTTATAAAAATTCGAGAATACGGAATTATCACAATTTATGGGCTGTTAATTCGCAAATAAACATTTCACAGACAATGCTATAATTAATTGTAAAAATATCAATTTTCAAATAATAAGGCAGTCATTTGCACATGAAATTTACAATGTCTAAGTATTTAAAAACAGTAGAAAGAAATCTCACAATTTTACTAAAGCCAAAATATCACATTTATTTCAAATAATTTTAAAGTATCTAAAATTTTATAACAATAGACAAGAAAAATAAATAAATTTATTTTTCTAAGAATTTACAGCATTTAAGATTTTTACCATAGATAAAATATCACAATTTTATTAAAAATATTATTTTTCAAAATAATGAGGTCGCTTGCGCATAAAATTTATCGAGCCTAAAATTCATGATAATAAGCAGAAATAAATATTCTATTTCATTTTTAAAAAGAACGGATTATTTTTTAAGACAATAAAGTCGTTTACCTAAAATATTTGAGATGGAGCTTCCGATAAATTTTCGGTTAGAGAGAGAAAGAGCTCACTACGTTTCGATTAGAGAGAGAAAGATCTCAAAAATTTTCTAGGGTGGGAGTCCTCGCCTCTCCTATTTAAATTCTTAAGATACCTTATTATATTAACTCATTAAGTTACATCTCATACATGAGGTGTCAGAATTATATTACACTTGAACATTTAAAGCCTACCTCCACTAAAAGCCGTGGCAAGGCAGCAAAAACTTAAACCAAAAGCTTTTAAAAGTAGTGATGGTTCTTAAGGACCATCATGCTCATATGGACCATCACTTATTAAAAATTTCTTTTTTTTTTTTCTTTTTTTGAAATTTTAGGATTATTACAGTACGATATTTGTAGAATGAGATTGTATGGTATATTATTATTTAGGGAAATTGAAATAAGGTCCGTTGTAATGGAATGTCTCAAAATTGAGCCATTATTACAAAGAAAGATAATGGAATGTCTCAAAATTGGGCCGTTATTACAAAAAAAAAAGATAATGAAATGTCTCAAAATTGAGTCATTATTACAAAAAAAGACGGAATCTTATTTTTTTCCTTTTTTTTATAAGATTGCACCGCCTTGCTTTGAACCTCTCTCTGATGCAAAGAAACGCCATCAAGCAATGAATCCCACTCGTAGTCAGAGCCCATTGAGTTGCCGGAATCTTCACCAGAAACCTCAATGGAAAAGTAGGTTTGGTCGGAAATTTCACTGAAAAAGTGGTTGTTGCCTGAACCAAGGGTGGGGTAGCTGGAAAAGATGGGTTTCCAGCGAGGCAGGCAACTTGCACAATGGAGTTTTCCAAAAAAGAGAGAGAAAGAAGAGACTTCTTTCTAATATTTCTATT